TTACGTAAGAATATCTTGAAAAAATATCTAAAAACAAAAAAATCAAAAATTGACCAAAAACAAATTCACTTCCGGTTCGGACAGGAAGTACTGGATAGACACGAAAAGAACTTCAAAACAAATAGAATATCATGATCTAATACTCCTGTAAATTTCATATCTTTACCTCAAACCGTTTCCGAGAAAACTGCCGGACAAAAGTCCATTTTAAAATTAGAAAATCGGCCCTAACTTCGGACCGGAAGTGAATTTGTCAAAAAACGGAATTTTATATAAACTTCATATATCAACCTACTTACATGAGAAAAATTGTGAAAATCTATCCAGCCATCTCTGAGTAATCGCGCTCACAAAATTTGGGAGGAATAATAATAATAATAATAATAAAAAGAAACAATACGAACACTATAAGTCTTCCGTTGTGAACGGAAGACTTAACTAGAGCCGAGCTCGTTGCAAAGCAACGAGTAGGTCTTCCGTCCTGTTTGACCGGAAGTAGCTTTCATTTTTAACAAAAATGAGAAATAACGCCTAAAAATGGTTTGAATCCTCTAAAGCTATGTTAATTAATGCAAAAATATGCAAATTTTTGCTACTTCCGGTTTAACCGGAAGTGATGACGACGGACGGAAAATTAATTTTTATGCTCCCAGAGACATATGTTACCCAAAAACTTGACAAGAACGGCAAAAATACACGTTTTTGACTACTTCCGGTTTGACCGGAAGTGACGACGCCGGACGTATTTTGACGACACAAATAGATTAAGCTTGACATTTTGAACAACTTTGCTTCTTTGACTTATTACAAATTATCAATACTTTTTGAGATATCAATTAAAAACTTTTGGCCCCTCTAGATCCCTTATTTTAGGGGTCAGCCCTTTTTTCGAGATATCAATTGAAAGATCTCAAAATTCTTCACAACTTTTGTTCTATATGTTTTAACAAAATATGTACAAGTAAAATGATATAATAGAAAAAGTGTTAGAAATTTTGAAACGCTCAGTATGACTTTTTTCAGTCCATACCGAGTGTTAACGTGCAGTACTTCCGGTGAAAGTTAACAACACAATGCAAATCTACATATGTTGCTCTATCTTCCTGAAAAGGTTTCATCTTCCTGTGATGACCGGTTTTTAAGAAGAGCGACGGACAAACTGACCCTTAAAAATCACAAAACTGCGAAAATCTCCGAACCGGAAGTGACGTCATCAAAATAAAAAAAAGGGTATCGAGATTTTTATATGTTCTATCAGACCTGAAAGTTTCATAAAAATCTAACCAGCCGTTTTCGAGAAATCGCGTGCACAATATCGGTAAGAAAAAAAATAATAAGAAAAACAGTGGAAAAGAAACAAACGAATAACAAGAAGGTCTTCCGCTGAAGACGGAAGACCTTAATAATAATAATAAGAAGAAACAGAGTAAAAACAATATGTTCCCCAACTTCGTTTGGGGAACATAATTAAATGACATATATTGCATAACAATAACTTTTTATGCATAGATTTATTACAATGGGTCGTTTATTACTTTAAAATAAACCAATATAAAATAACTATCTTTCCTCGTACATTTGGTCCCGAATGTGACATTTGTTATATGATGTCTTTTATTACACTATTTCATGTCAAGAACATATATAGCATCGGAGGTGTCCCCTTCACTTATTTCAGACGTAACTTTTTACTATAGAAAATGTTCATGGAAAGTCCGGCTACCCCCTTTTCTTTTGCAGTAAATTTCGAATAAAAAAGAAATGGTACTAATTCGAACACCCCTTCCCGCACGAAATAGGGTTTTTGAATCTATTTATTTTTCGGGTATGCTGATTTTTTTCAAAAACGATGCAATACGTCACTGCATATGATCTTAGTTTCAGAAAATGTGAATATTTGTTGTCTTTAGATCTTAGCTCACCGAACCACTGTGAACGAAAGATATCAAAATAAAATATGGGAATATAGGAGAATAACTTTAAAAATCAAGAACTGTTGACTTTGATTAGTCATTTTTAATATACAGGCATCTCTATAACATGGTGTTGTGCAAACTATGGTCGCATGGGTTGGGAGAGGCAGGCTCTGAATACTACGTAATATGTAAGAGAATTCTTTAAGAGTTGATAGGTAAACATTTTTGAGTCGTTTAGATTCGTTTAACAAATTATATAAACACCGAGGTTAAAATTACGACAAAATCAATTGTCAAATTGACATAATACATGTAAATAGGAAAACTGAGAAAACTAACTTCGCAAGAATATAGTAAAGCCATGTCAGAATACTTCTGTTGCAGCAAACCAATGTTGTCTGAATTAAACTTTGGTTAAATATTAACCTCTGAACCAATCACAATACGGGGCCATTCGATCTCTATTCCTCAGAGGAAGGGTAACAGAGTCAATCTGACTCGAGCGAACATTGTGCCCATGGGGCTCTCGTTTGCTTTGTTAGCAGTTTTCTGGAAACATGCTATGAACAATGCTGAATACAATTCCTTGCAATCAATGAACTTATAAAGAATTACGCATGAAACGAGATGATTTCTAGATAACCGGATTATAAATAAGAATGTCGTGTAAAGTAAGCCTATTATCACTTTTCAGTTTTGTCCTTTTGAGCAAGTAGTTCTACATATACTACCAGCTGTTGACGCACATGTCCTTTGCAACTTTCAAGGCTTAACATCTGACATTTCTGAAGTTTATCAAAGTTTTAAAGCATGAAATCTGGTAGCTGCAGACCTATAGCATTATGGCTTTATATTTTAGTCTTTGGTCATAACGCTACCGATCCCTTAATGCAAGTCAAAAAAGTGCAATTTACAGCACAAGATTTTTATAAGGCACTGTTGGGGAAAATTTCTCCACAGCATTGGTAAATCAACTACCTTTCACTACCTAATTCTAGACATATTCTTTAACCAATCTGTATATTTTATCCACCTCCCAAACATTGATGCTTTCCTTTACATATGAAACAAGATTACGGATTTTTCAATTTTATTCTATCATGTGACAGGTAAATTAGCAGGCCATGTGCTTCACCAACTGAGCTATTTAAAAAATTAAACATTGAATTTACATGAGTATGATTTATAAGCAGTTTTTCTTATTTCCGCCATACTATCACATGAGTAGTTAAACTTAGCCATATAAGGAGACTTATCATTTTGTTTTTCTCTCTCTCCAAAGAAATTCTTTCATGAAGACAATAAATAAATTGCAACTTAAAATCTTTAATACCAGTTCAACATTTTCTATGCACAAAATATTATACAATATATCAATAAAAAAAAGAGCAGTGAATATATAGATCTACTGGAATTCTTTGGCATGAGACTTTTGAGGATTCCAGGTCATCTTAAAATACAGCATCCATCTAAACCCACATACTACTGAACAAATAACAGGAACCTTTCTTAGTCCACAAAACTTTGGGTACTATACAGTATATTCATGATTGATATTTTGTATTTTACAGAAACCATTGTAACTATAGCATTAAATCATAAAGTCAAACCTTATCCTCTTGACCTCAACAGGACCAAGGAAAACTGAGATATCAGATTCAGAGTATTCAAGATATTGAGGATGAATTAAAAAATAAGTGGTTTGAACTTCAATATTATTTGCTTGAAAGATCCATGGTATGAAAGATACTGGTATTGAGATACCAGAGTTCGACTTTATTGAGTTTTCCCAAAGACAAAAGAATTATGTAATTCATTGAGTACAAAAGAATTATGTTATTATTTACAAGAGAAATAATAAATAAAAATGATTGTAAACAGTAATCATTGTCCTTACCCATGTACTTTACAGTAAGAATCATGATAAACACAAAAAAATATCACAGAGGATGAAATTAATGATAAATGCCTCACCTTTCTACTGATTCTTCTTACATACATGTACATGCACACATTTACACCTCCTCTAAACATACATGTACACATGTTTACAACACTTGACAATACATGATATCAGCATAAATGATTTAATGATTTTTCTTTTTTTTTTAAATAGTTTTCAAAGCATTCACCTAATGGAAATTTGCAAAAAGAAAAAAATTTAATGGGGAAAAAATGTGTCACAATTTTATCAAATTCATAACCTGATAATGTTGAAAAGAAATCAATATTCATATGCATTTTCAAACAATGCTCAATATTTGTCAATAAAAAATTGCACAAAAAAACTTCCACCACAAAATTTTCAATGAAAATCCTTATGTTTTCTCTAAGCTTGGATAGCTAGATTTGCTATTGTCTTTTCCTCAGTCTTTTTCAATCATACTCATGACTGCTCTCCCTTTGTTTAAGGCCTCCACTAGATGTCCCTTTGTTGACATGAGTAAGTGTTTCCATGGCACCTGATTTGGTAATTCTAAAATGCAGCATAAATAAAACAGAAATGAGTTCTATCAAGTGGATGTCATACCATGAATAAGCATTGGAGTACACTATTTATTAAACCCTAAAAGTTTAACAAATGGGTACTAATTACATACATGCCAACTTTTAAAAATTCCCATGGGGGATTTAGCGCGTGACGACAATTTTCAAAGCTTTAAATTCGCGACATTTTGTCGTGAAATTAAATGATTATGAAATGATTTTTTTTTTAATTTATAATATTGATATTACTTATCAATACAAGTTAAGAATTAATTTAACACAAAAACTAATGTTTTTCTTTCCAAAATTGAAATATTTCTGCTAAAATAGGTGCCTCTTTCACTTAAGAAGAGGTATTTAGTTACATATGTAAACAACATTTTTTTCTACCAGAACACATAATTTAGTGAAAAATTGAAAATTTTACAACTTTTAAATCATTTTTTCAAAGGCTAAAAAATATGAGGTTTTGATACTGTAAAATTCTTTTTCTGGAAACATTTTTGAGATTTTTTATATATATATATTAGAAATTCTAATTAGACATTAAATATACAGAAATTTATACCACCTATGTAAAAGAAAATTATTTTTTTTTACAGTCATGAAATTCGTCAGGCTTGATGTTGCCATTTGGGTATTTCCTTAAGTCATGCACATTACTTTTGGGAGAAGGGAGGGAAAAGAATTTCTAATTGAAATACACTTGATTGTTTCATCTTAATTTTTTCATAATATTTTAATTGGCAACTTAGAAATATTTTTCATTATAGGTGGATAAAATCATCAGCTATGCTTTGTAGTTTTCTTCTTTCGTTTAAAAAAAAAACGATCTCTTTGGATTCCGATTTTATGGTTTAATTAGTATTTTATTGTCTTTAATTTATGTTTTTAATAAAATGACTAACAGTTATCACGTTAATCTATGTGTTTCACCTTGCATACCCCTTAAAACTGACAAGATAATACCCTAATTGCCCCAAGCTATAAGCTACTCGTACCTGGACAACTGCGTGCGTTCATGCGTGAAGTGATTTCCTGTGGCTAATTAGTAATTAACATCTGGTTAAATAAACAATGAAACTTATCTGTGTGCATTGAATATACAAGTCTGACATTGTTAACCCGATTGTCAAAATTCAGCGGTAGGGAAACTTTTAAAATCTGAAATTTTAAGGTGATTTTTTTTTCAAATCGGGAAATTAGGGCAATTTTTCTCTCCCGATCGGGAAGGCGGGATGAAAGGGTAAAATCGGGAGGATCCCGCCTAAATCGGGAAAGTTGGCATGTATGTAATTAAGGAGACTGGGGGTCAACAAATTAACCATCAAAAATAACTTCTTTTTTTTTTAAGATATGATATCTTAAACAGTCAACTATCATTTGGCTAGGAAAAAATTCCGAAATTTTAGTTTTAAAATTTGATCATTTTTCTGTATCTTTATATGGAACTCTTCTTCTAAAGGAGATCAAAATAGTCTGAAAATGGCTAAAACCACCCAGCCCCTTTAATACAAGGTTCATAAACCCTCTGCTAAAAAAAAACTTCCCATATGACTCATATGATTTTCCAAAATAAATGTGTTTTAAGTAAAATACAAGTAATTTTATCATAGCTTGCAGGGCAAAACTACCCCCCCCCCCAAAAAAAACACAGTTAAACATCCCTTGCTAAACAGTACAAAATTGAATTCTTGCTCAAATTTCTGTTTAAACAGTAGAATCAACTCCCTTTAGTTATCATATATTGTTTGGTGCATATACCCATGATAACATTATCAAAGATGTCAGCTTCCATGTGAAAAAACAATTGAACATTTCAAAACGACCTATCACAGGTAAAACTTAGATACTATAACTGTTTTATTTCTTTACTGTTTGGCATATAATAAAGTTTACTGAAAAAAAATCTGGGTTAAAAAAAAATTAAAAACCAAATCATCTATCCATTTAACTACAAAAATTGGATATTTTCATTGCATTTATCATTCCAGGTCAAAACAAAGCTGTAAATGGTCATTACTTATTATTCAAGATCAAATTGAGCCGTACAAAGTTATTACTTATCACTCAAGGTCAAATGAAGCTTTTGGAAGTCATTATTTAGCATTTAAGGTCAGACGAAGCTGTACAAGGTCATAACATTTCATTCAAGGTCAGATAAAATTAAACAAGTCCTTTATTTATCACTAAAGGTCAGAAAAAGGCTGTATAAGGTCATTACATTTTATTCAAAGTCAGATGAAGCTGCTCAAGGTCATTATGTACCATTCAAGGTCAGATAAAGCTGTACAAGGTCATTATTTTCAATCAAAGTCAAATAAAGCCTGAACAAGGTCACTACTTTTCATTCATGGTCATACAAAGGTGTACAAGGTCATTATGTACCATTCAAGGTCAAATAAAGTTGTAAAAGGTCATTACTTGTCATTCAAGATCAAAAGAAGCTGTACATCATCATTACTTATCACAGTTATTCAGTTATGGTCATGTTAAGCAGTACAAGGTCACTACTTACACCTCGTCCATCTCCACCTCTTCTTCATCCTCTTCTGTCGGCACCTGGAGATATGGATTATCCGGAGCGGGCTGGAATTTGTACCCAGTGATGATGAAGAACACTAATGTGGCAAGTTCCTTAAAGAGTTCATCTAGCCATTCATACTGGAAGGGTACAGTTATCTGGAGAGAAACAGAATGAGGAATAATAACATGTATGGCTAAGGCAATTAAATCTGGTCTTCTAGTGTTTGTAAGTACATCTATATGAGTTATAGGAGCCATGGGACTTTCGACAATCACTAAGTGAATCAGTCATTATAAATACATCCTGGTCATATAAGGAAATTCATGAAATCCCCAAATTATCAAATGTAACATGAAATCAAGAATAAATTTTACTTTTTATTCACAATCTGTAGTTTCTATTAGGCAGCACAAAAAATGTAAAGATCCCAGATAGTAGCAGCATGAAACTTGTAGAACAAATAAAGGAATCCATGTTTTATGTTTTAGAGAATAGAACTGTAGACAAGAAGCCCATGGGCCTTATAGGTCACCTGAGTATCATGCAACAACTTTCCAACAATTGAATTTGATTCATGTTTTAATCCAGAAGCAATGAAATTCACAATTTTGAAAGAGGCACCATTGCTTATCATAATTATGCACTCAGCATGTTTACTTTGGTTAGTAATACCCTGAGGTAGATCACAGCAACAAAGTTAGAGAAAATGCATTCCCACTTTTGTGCATCCCATCCCACAGGAACCACTGACCCTGGGGCTACATCTTTCAAAATTTTGGAAATTTTATAGATTTTATTTCATCATGTTGTTGATTAATACCAAAGTGCAGATTTCAAAGCATCAAATTATTTTCAGACCCCCCCCCCAAGTACCTCTGTCCCAGGGGCCAGGAAATTAAGCATTTTTGGAAGAAGCAGCATTTTTCATCATAACTATATAGGGTGAATTCACCATGCATCGGATACCCTTGTACTTCAACAAGTTCTAGCGATATCGCTACCGACGGAAAATAATCAAAATTGAGTTTAACATTTAATTTGTGATTAAAATATCAATTTGGGACACAATTATATGCCCTTTATTGAGAAAATATCCTCAAAAATCGCGTTTTTAGGAATAACTCAAAATTCACCATGGATCGGACATTGTTTACCATGCATCGGACACACGGTATTTTGACTGGATAAATATCATACCTTTATTAAAGTGCTTTAAAATCCTTGATATGGATATATTTTTATCTTTTATCTAAGAATTAACCCTCAGTTTAAATCTAATTGACGATATCGTTGCACAAATGTAGAACGATTCAAGAGACCTCTCTCTGCCTTAAAAATGCTTTAAAATGCTTATAATGCGGTAATTCGCGCCTTTTTTCATGGTTTATCATACTCTGGTTTGTAGAAATAAATTGAGTCAAATTCCAGACGTCATACATCGATAACCTGTATTTTGACTGAAAATATAGAGTTTTTATTTTCCTTTTCCGCAAAAAACAGCTATCAGCTGGGTTCTGTATGAAAATGGTAGTGCTTACCTTTGCATCGGAAAGTGTCCGATGCATGGTTAATTTGTGTCCGATGTACGGAGAAATGAACATACTAGTGAAAACCAGCTTTTAAAAGAATTATACGAACATTGAAGTGAAATTTCTTTAAAATTTATGTAAAATTATCAATCTTTGACTTTATTCACCAAAGTCTGCCTCGTTCCGTTGAAGTCGAATTTTAAGAACGATAACTCTAAAAATCGCAAAATCTTAAATTCCTGGTTGTTCCCCTTTGATGATGTAAAATATGACGTAACTTCAAGGCCATTCTCGGGGTATTTTTATCACAACATGATAATAACAATCGGTATCATTAAAAAATTTAAGTCTTCAGCTTCAAGACAGAAACAAATAAATACACGGAACTCTTAAGTTGAAAGAGAGTTTATTGTCTAAAGTTGTCCGATGCAAGGTATGTGTCCGATGCATGGTGAATTCACCCTACTTAGATCATTGCCATAATACCCAGGATCAAAAGGAAAAGATTTTCAAAGATTTTGTGCATTTTCACTATATAAACATTAGAGCCCGCCCTAACTGTAACACAAGAAGCCCTGACCCAGGGACCCTGAAATTCACAAATCTCAAAGAGGCATCCTTGCTCCTCATAACTATGTACATAGTTCATTGATTTAATACCCAGGTGCAGAAAAGAAGATTTTTAAAGAGTTTATGCATTTTCACTATATAATCAATAGAGCCCCACCCTAATACTAGAACACCCAACCCAGGGGTCATGAAATTCACAATTTGGGAAGAGGCAGCCTTATTCAAAATAACTATGTACTTGGTTAGTTTATTTAATACTCAGGAGCAAAGAAGAAGATTTTCAAAGAAATAATGCATTTTCAATATATAATCTATATAGCCCCGCCCTGCCACTAGAACTCCTGACCCTGGGGCCATTAGATTCACAATTTTAGAAGAGGCAGCCTTATTCAACATAACTATGCACTTGGTTAGTTTATTTAATGCCCAGGAGCAGAAAAGCAGAATATCAAAGAAATAATGCATTTTCACTATATAATCTATATGGCCCAGCTCTGCCACTAGAACCCCTGACCCTGGGGCCACTAGATTCACAATTTTAGAAGAGGCAGCCTTATTCAACATAACTTCACACTTGGTAAGTTTATTTAATGCCCGCACACAGAAAAGAAGAATATCAAAGAATTACTGCATTTTCACTTTAATAACCTATATGGCTCCTAGATCCCCTGACCCTGGGGTCATTAAATTCACAATTTTGGAAGAGCTAGTCATTTTCACCTCAGTTATGCACTTGGTTAGTTTATTTAATGCCCAGGAGCAGAAAAGAATAATTTCAATGAAATAATGCATTTTCACTATATAACCTATTTAGCCCCACCCTAGCACTAGAACCCCTGACCCTGGGGCCATGAATTTCATAATTTTGGTGGAGGACTCAATGCTAATTACAATCATACCAACAGTTTACCTGCTTGATGTCCAGGAGTAAAGAAGAAGATTTTTAAAGATTGCACTAATTTTAGTGGTTTTTGCCCCACCCCCAGGCCCCAAGGGGGCAGGGACCATGAAATTCACAATTTTTGTTCCCCTTCACCCATAGATGCTATATGCCAAATTTGGTTGAAATTGGTTCAGTGGTTTCAGAGAAGAAGCTGAAAATGTTCAAATGTTAACGCACGACAGATGACGACGGACGAAAACGGATAGCAATAGGTCACTTGAGTTTACTCAGGTGACCGAAAAAAGCCAATGACTTCCAACAAACAGTAAATTTTGATCATAAAATAAATAAATCATTATGTACTTTTAAAATATGAATGCAATTATAATTCATATATCTCAAATTTGACAGTTTTACTTATCTGAATGATCCCAATAAATTCTAATATCTTAGTATGTGAACAAATACTTTATAGTAGTTTAAGTCTTACATACCTTTACTAGGTACACTATAAATCTTGTAAAGTAGATATAACACACAATCTGAAAGAGGCAGATCAAAACATCATTTTAGTCCATCATTTTGATAATAAAGTGCCGCGCCACAGCATGATATGCCCGTCAAAAAATTACAATTTTCTTGAACAGTTTAGGTGCAAGAAAATCACATCAACCTTGATTCTAAGATTTCGATGATTTTTCCATTCCTTAAAATATTTATCCAACCCCTGTGATGTAGGCATCATTTATTATAATAAATATTACATCACTGATAGATTTCTGTGCTGGTTGTGTTAGACCTTGTCAAATGCCCATCATCAAATTAGTCTTAACACCCTAATCTATACCAAATTAATTTTGAAAAGAAAAGGCTGGCCATCAAATGACATATGTTATAAACTGACCAGCAGTTCTTCTGTCTAATCCCCAAAGGGTACAGATAAGACTGCTTAATCAGAGCGACTGAGACAGCTAGCCTTCCTACATTGAACTCATTAATTAATCTTTAACTGGATGCTTGTCTACTCATTACTACCAAGAGATGAATGGATCTGCACTATCTCTTTTTAAAACCATATAAAATACTCAAATATTTTTTTTTTGGTTGAGATTTAATGTCCGACAGGTTTTTAACATATAATTCATATGGACATGCTGATTCCACCCCATAAAATAAAATTAGTTTTTAAATTAATAATATTACATAATATCAGATAAGTCTATTATGCAATATCAAATTAGCTTTTATTACTTTTCATCAAATTCATTTTAAAACTTAAGCTAGTCAACAAGAGCTATTTTTAATCAAACAGGCTTACCCATTTGCCCAATACTCAAGGGATATAGATAACACCAATGCTCTGTCAGTTAGCTCCTCGCACAAAAACCCATTAATTTCTCTCTAATTTGACATGCAATTTTCGGTTATCAAAATTCTTCTTGACCAGTGCTTGATAATTACACTCATGGGAGAGGTAGGATTTCTCTGACATACATTATATTTGTTATAGATTGCTGTCAAGTATATGCTTAAAAAAAATAAGTATTTTCTTAATTTAACACTTTTTTAATAAGGACAGTGCAATACTCTTACATTATTTGGGATGTGTAAATGAACAATAAAAAGACACATTTTTTTTTTAATTCACTTAAATTAAAGGTCACAGTGACCTTGCAATAGGTCGTGACACACCTTCTACTTAAGATGCATAAACTGGCCAAGTTTGATGATTGTAGGTCTTATGGTTTTCTAGTTATGGGCCGGAAAGGATTTTTCCATATTTGGCTATAACTTCTTAATTAAAGGTCAGAGTGACCTACTTTTTGTGCGCGACACACCTTCTACCCAAGATGCATCAGATGACAAAGTTTGATAATCCTAGGCCCAGTAGTATTAAAGTTATGAGCCGGAAACGAAAAAGCTAACAGACAGACGGACGGACACGAAGCCTATAACATAATACGTCCCGTCTTAAGACGGGCGTATAAAAATCCAACCACATGAGAGTTTGTAACACAGGGAAACTCATCCATATTATGCATACAAAATGCAGACTAATTGAAGTAAAACTCACCATGATATAGAAATGCCTGAAGAGGGCTAGTTTTTGTAAACTAAGTGCAGCTTTCCCATCAGTTCCTGTGGACTGTCGTAAATGTCTCATTGACCTGTCAAAAGATGATAATCTTCATTAGAAATCTTATATTTGTCAAGCCTGCATATACAAATTCTTCAATAAGAATTATTACAGACCCTAAAACGTGCTACTACACCACTGGAACGGTACGGTTCGGTACGCTTTGAGCACGGAACGGTACGCTTTGTGTACGGTACGGTTCGTTTTGAGGACGGTACGTTTCGTTTCTTGCACGGAACGGTTCGCTTTGTGGACGGTACGGTACGCTTTGAGAACGGAACGGTTCGCTTTGTGCACGGAACGGTACGCTTTGTGGACGGTACGTTTCGTTTCTTGCACGGAACGGTTCGTTTTGTGGACGGTACGCTTTGGGAAACGTTATGCAAATGAAGTGGGCGGAGCCTGTCAGCTTTGGTCCCTGATTGGCTGGGATACTTTAGTTCATTTTAAATGACTTTTGGAGTACTTACATGTTATGCACGTATATAACAATTTTCCGTTATTAAAGAATGTAATTTAGTTATTGTTTATATAAATTTAAGTATCAATGAGTTAATTTCTATTTATAACGTGTACATGTATGTAATTGTGTTTACTTAGTTATGTATGCTATGTCTCGGTTTCAGTTGAAAAATTAATTTACGCTGCAGTACAGGTCGAGGATAAACTGAAAAACATCGTCCCATTGATCTTTTTAGCAACATAAAAATTTCATTACGCGTATATTTTACGTAGGCTGGGGCTAATTATAAAAAAGAAAATATATAAATATATGTATATGATATTTTTTTCTTTTTGAAAAAAAAAGCCGCAATATAATTTTAAAAAGGAATATATATATACTTGATCTATATAATTTTATAGCACTAAACGCGTATATAAATTATATTTAATTGATTGATCTATTACAGAAGAACAACATGACTAATCGTACTTTTAATTTTAGTGATAAGCAAATTAATAAATATCGTTTCTCTATTCTAATATTGTATATATATCATTTATTCTTTTGCTTCAGAGGAGAAATATCAGTAAAATATTTTTTTTTCTTTTAGAATTATCAGTAAATTATTTTTTTTTCTTTTATACGTGTATTTTAATGTATGTACTGTACATACTAGTATTCTGTCTTCATTAGTGTGCCAAATTAACGTATTATCGACAAAATTAATACACTGTATTAAAAAATGATTTTATATATTTATCTATCTATCTATTCATTCATTCATTTTATCTATATGTCTGTCTTTTTAATCTTAAATTAACGATTAAAAATTTATTTGTTATGTAAGCATGTACCGGCACGTGGCATTGTTGCAAACCTGATGAGGGATCTATACAACACAAACTTGTTGACCAGCTATAACCCTCTCTCCTCAACCCCCCCCCCCCCAACACAAAACAGTGACAGGGGTAGTGGTATGGCTTCGAAGGAGTACCCGATTTGGTGTACATGTAACACAAAAGACCAGTGACAAGTTGACCCCCTCTCCCAAAAAAGACAATAGATTGGGCTAAAGGTGTTCAGTTGGTTGGCCGATATAAAGCCGTCGTTTAATTACTTCACAACCACTCCAGCTGTTTCTGCAGTAGAAGAATCTGTAAGTACGTAAGTTTAAAATGCGAACACAGTACCTTATTTTCATGTTGGTATACATTGAACATTGCATATGTAATTCAGAGTACGGTTTTTAGTCTACAGAGCTTGAGGTATCAGTTTGTACAAATAACTAAAAAAGAGACCTACCAATTCTTGAGTGTTTCAAATTATCCCTTATACTATTAGTAGTCATTTTATCGTTAACGAATCCCTTTACATAATCCATATTTTAAATTTTCTTTGATGTTGTTTCAGTTTGTATTTCTATACGCTATTGAAATAAAAAATAATGAGTGATTTAGGTCCGTAACTGGGGGGGGGGCTAACCCCCCTTCCTAGACCCCCATGGTTCCGACGCCTATGCATTAGGTCTCCGATAAATTAAAATGTTATAATACAATTCATATGAACGTACTGATTAGGAAAAAACAGATATATTATACTTTTACTTTCTGTACAAAAATAACTTAAATATTCAAAATATTGCTACAAATTTGTAGCGTTTTGGTTTTATATATTTGTCCTTTACTATACCGGTCCTACTAAACAGAGTACGATATAGTACTTTAGAGTACGCTAGTAATATTTTAAAATTATACCGTAACGCTATAGATCCCTAATGCTAAAAAGATGCAATAAAATGATGTTTTTACCCTCTTTCTATCCTTAATTTTCATTGGTTAAAAGCTTTGTATTGCTATAAATCAAAACCAAACACGGAAAGGCATAGGCTGATAAAGTCGGAAGGCGACAGTGAAAGTCGGACATGTAGAATTTAAAATAGGACACAAACTGTTTTCGGCATTTAAGTGCAATTTACTTTATTTTTTTTTTTTTGGTGTTGATTGTAATGGAGCATGCACAAAGTATCAAGGGGTGGGGTGGGGGGCTGACCTCCCCCCCCCCTCCCCTTAACATTTACTTTACACAATTGCATGTAAATTCAAGTTCATTGAAAGGCTGGTTTCATCATCTCCACCTTTAATATCTTACAGTCAAATCAGGGTAATCTGGTAATGTATGAATAAAATTCGGTTTTGAAAGATATATAATCAAATTGATAGTAGGTATATCTCCCATCAAGCTCTGAAATAGAATTTTATTTGAGTTTGGACAATTACCCACTCTTTCTATCTTGTCGCTTTTTTCTACACTCACTACTGTGTTGAATTTGTTAGCTCCTCCCCAGCGTACAAAAATGATACCAAGTACCCGGAAAAAGATTCGTTAACATATAAACTTAAAATTAAATTAGTTTAATGTACTTAGTATAATCCTGTGGATTATTTAGATAAATGTTCCATTCATATACCAAGAAATTTTAATTAGCATACATTGTACATGTATTATGCGATCTATAATCTATAAACCAATGCGTTATCGTGCGAATAATTTTCGGGTTTAAATTGTCTCCAAAATACATCCCATTTTATACATTTATTAAGTGGTTATATAAACAGAAAACTATTTATCCTACTATCTTTAGAATCAGTAATCTGAAACATATTTAATTTTCAAGAAAGAAACTTTTTGTTTTCCTGAATGAGTGATAAGTTATAAACATGAGACTCAAATAAAGCCACGAAAAAATTATTTTTTAATAGACTTTCTTTCCTTCTCTTTGTTCTCCTTTTCTTCTTTTATTTACCCCGGTTTAAATGTCTACAGTATTTTATTTATCTGTAATATTATATCAGTCTGTTGCCGTTAAAATTCAATGAGATGGGTTTTGCTTTACGTGTTTATCTTTGTGTTTTTTTTTCTGAAAAGAAACAATGTCTATAAGGCAAGTGATGAAAGGTTTTTTTTTTAAAATAAATTCTTCCTTCAAAAAGTTGAAGCGAATTGGCAAAATTTGATTGCAAAAGCTAAAATACTCTTAAATTACCAGTAAGTTTAATTACATTATAAAAAACTGTTCTAGTATTTAAAAATATGACAATTTTTTAAAAAACAATTGCAATTTATTCAATACATGTATAATGTGCTGTCCGACTTTAAATGACCGAGAATGTTAAGTCGGATAGTTTAATTTTAATAGTTTACTTAAAAAATATCCACAAAAAAATTATTATTATGGGAATAAGTAATATTATTCATTTAAAAGTTTGATTTAATTACAAAATGTATAGGCTATTACGGAGTACCGACGGCAAACTGAAGATATCTCCAGAGATAACTAAGGTCACAGCCGACAGGTGCGCGCTGGGTGCGCATGCGAAAATTATCCGGATCCATGAGATGCGTATGTATCCTCTTAATTTTATACATTATTTCAAACTTTTTCACGACTATGTTTGCATGGAACAACCAGAAACATCCTGTAGACGGAGATACTGAAAGAAAAATACACATGACACTAAATTTAGAAACGATTTTATTCTGAAAGAGAAGAGTGTCCAACATTCGATGCTGTCCGACTTTAGCTGTTCCTCACCTACTCATAACAGATTAAATACATAGAACATAGTTTGTTGGTGTAAAATGGTTTGTCCATTTGATGATTGTAAACTAACATTAGAATGAGTGGGTAAACTAACGTACATCATACCCCCCCCCACCCCCCAAAAAAATACATGCACAAGACAAAGGGATTTATATATTTTCATTTCAACATTTAAGCTTAAAAATGATTCTTTAGTTCGTTACCATTTCTCCCATGTATCTGTTCATGGACCACAAACGACGATTAAATAATTATTTTTTTTGCGTACAACTATATTAAATCCCATGTTTAATGTCCAAAGCAATTTTTTTTCGCTAGCAGAAATTAGTAAAAATAAAAAAAATAACTATTTAAAAAGCTCAACAAAATTGGAAAATTATAATTTTGGGTAACATATTACACATGATATCTCATCCGAATGAATAAGAAAATTACGTATCACGAACACAACCCGTTGATTTGTAGCGAATAAGGAATCGTCTTACACTATGTCTAGTTGTTTTAAAGTTGTAGTTTGCTTCGAGTAGTTTCGTTATTTTTACAGATGAAAGCCCAGATGCGTGGTACTTGATTATGGTGTTTCGAACAGCCAGGAACAACCTACGTCCTCCCTTAACGGCGCCATAGCGAGAAAAAAACCAAAATGACTTATTTGGTCATTGCACGGTTCGAAAATCATTGGGGGCGTGGTTTGCATAATTAAGCAAAGGACGGTACGGTTCGTTTCTCGTACGGAACGGTACGCTTTGAGGACGATACGGTACGCTTTGTGCACGGTACGGTTCGTTTTGAGGACGGTACGTTTCGTTTCTCGCACGGAACGGTTCGCTTTGTGGACGGTACGATACGCTTTGAGAACGGAACGGTACGCTTTGTGCACGGAACGGTTCGCTTTGTTCACGGTACGGTACGCTTTGTGCACGGAACGGTACGGTTCGTTTCTGAGGTGTAGTAGCACGTTTTAGGGTCTGTAGTATGCCTCTAT